TCTCTCTCTCTCTCTCTCTCTCTCTCTCTCTCTCTCTCTCTCTCTCTCTCTTTCTTTCTCTCTTTGTGTGTGTGTATGTGTATGTGTGTGTGTGTGTGTGTGTGTGTGTGTGTCTCTCTCTCTCTCTCTCTCTCTCTCTCTCTCTCTCTTTCTCTCTCTCTCTCTCTCTCTCTTCACCTGTGTACATATGTATACAGGTTATATAATATGTTGTTATTGAATGTTGATTTTGTTTTGTTTTGGTGGGGGGTTTTTGCCACCAGCAGTTACAAGTATTGCTTTTTTAACACCCGCGGAGTTTGAAAGAGAGCTTATCTGTCTCATCGCTGCGCTAAGTTGAAATGAAATCAGCAGCACAAGCTAAGAATAAACTATGTTTGTTCGGCAAAATTCAGTAGCTTCTGTTCAAGTTTTCAGTTGTAGGCTACGAGAAAAACGCTGCCTTGCGTTTGTGGAGCATTTCCAAAAGAGGTACAACCTACGTATTATGTTGCTTGTAATTCACATCAGTCTTCTTCGCTGAAAAAAAAAAGAACACAAGTGAACAATAATTACCTAGTGGTTATCGTGTACGCGTTAGGTGGACTTTGAAGAACGAATAGTTAATTATTAGCAGAAGGTGGGAAGTATCGGAAGATAACGAAGGTCAGCTATCATGAAAGGGGGAATTCTTGAGCTTGGAGTCTTGAGCCAAGTCGCTCATTTATTCTTTCCCTCACTTTGTTGCGTTTCGTGACCTTGCTACCGTAACGTCGGTGAGCTTAGTTTATAGCAGTGCTTCAGGAAGAAACAATGACTGGTAAATATACTGGGATACAATATTATTATTGTAATCAAGAAATGGAGAGAGAGAGAGAGAGAGAGAGAGAGAGAGAGAGAGAGAGAGAGAGAGAGAGAGAGAGAGAGAGAGAGAGAGAGAGAGAGAGAGAGAGAGGGGGGGGGGGTGAGGAAGTTTGTAAATATGTGTGTGCATTTATATACACACACACACACACACAAATATGTGTGTGCCTTTTTTACACACACACACACACACACACACACACACACACACACACACACACACACACACACACAGTGTGTGTGTGTGTGTGTGTGTGTATATATATATAATATATAATATATATAAAATATAATACATAAAATTGCCATTTCGTGCAAGGGTAAGCTAAACAGACAGGATAGAAGCAACAAAGCATATTTTTTCATGGGGAATAGCCTACTAAAATATTATGAGTGGCACCCCCCAGCCACCCTTACGAGGAAAAAAAAGGAGGCTGCGATAGAATTTATTTTTTTTTAAGAAAAAAGAGAGGAAAAAGGAGAGAGAGAAGATAGAGAGTTTAGTTTCAGTGAAGTGCAAGACAGACAGGGAGAGGAAGAATTACTGTCAATGCTGTCAATTCAGAAGTAAGAAAAGAAAGACGGCACAAAGTAGCCGAAGAGAGTTGAAACTCTAAGGCACGAAGACTGAAATTACACAGGCCTACTGTTATTATGGTCTTATAACTATGATCATAAAGGCTAATACATGTGAGGCACTGTGGTGAAATCAAGGGCTGGTCAAAATAATGAAATCAAAGAAACCGGCATATTTCCTCTCTTTGTGCTTTTTGTTTTTTGTTTTTGTTGATTTTTGTTGTTGTTGTTGTTGTTGTTGTTGTTTTGTTGGGGGTTTTTTGGGGGGTTGGGGGGGGGGGTTGCTGTGTTTTTGTTTGTTTGCTTGTTTGTTTTGTTTTGTGGTTTGACAAGATAAATTTAATGTCCATTTAAAAAGCACATTTCTGAACAGATTGTAAGAAAAATGTTGATCAAAGGAACGACGATTGTACATTTAATTTTGCAGGACACTCAAAGCTCTGGAAGTCACCAAACTTTGGCCGCCATTTTCTCCGGTAAATTTACCTCTGATGCTAGGCGACCCCCCTTTTCTTCAATTGCAAATATCTCGTCCGCTTTTCAAGATAGATTTGTATTTTTTTGTTTCAAAATCGCAACAAATGAACAAGCTTTCAGATGATCCCATTGACTCTACATGCCCCAAAATTGACGAGCGCCTGATTCCACCGTATCGCGACACACGACATATTATATATTGTATCTCTCACTATAAATGTCAAGTCAATGTTAGTTTCCAGTATGCGTCCAAGCATACGTATTGGTTTGTGTTCACATGCATCATGTATGGTTGTGTGTGCAAGTTTTTGTGTGTAAGTGTGTGTCTGCGTGCGTGTGTGTGTACATGCGCTCTCGCGTGTGTGTGTGTGTGTGTGTGTGTGTGTGTGTGTGTGTGTGTGTGTGTGTGTGTGTGTGTGTGTGTGTCTTTGCGTAGTTATGTAGGTAGACATGCCCCGTTATGTAGACGTCCACATAATGTTTTAAGGTCACCATCGCATTTCCCGCCAAAAATTACATCATGTGTTAAAATATTTTTTAATTTGGTTCCGGTCCGAATAACGCTGTTATTTCGTTATTTCTATAGACAACGCTATACACACTTCGAGTGTGTGCAGAATTTTTTGTGTCCACATAACGACAGTAGCTTTCTGATTTGTGTATCGCCGTGTGTGTGTGTGAGACGGCACGTGGCGGATCCATCTAGGAGTTGGAATCCAGAAGCCTTCTCTGCTGTACATCATGGAGCAACGCTCTGCAGTTAGTTTAATAAGAGTTTTACGGCGCTGGCAACATCTTACGGCCACATGCACGCATGAAACACAAGTTGATTGCATTCACAACAGCTCACTGCACGGCTTTATTTTACTTTTAAAGTAAAGGAAAACATCTCATGGTAAAAAAAAAAGTTGTTTTAAAAAGATTAGAAAATAAAAACAGATGTTTACATTTTAAAACAAAAATTATCTACTTTTTAGAATACAGGCTAATGACTTTTATAGATTTGAGAATTCCATTTGGATCAACGACGGAGAACAGACCTT